GTTGGGTGAGGACACGATTCAACGATGATTACATATCTGGATTTTATTTTACAGAGTCGTTTGAAACCTGGCAGGATGTTACTGGTCGACACGCATGAGAGGAAGATCATCGAAGACGTGGAACTAAAGTTGCAAATCTCTAGAAGCAGGCCACATTCCAAATGGCTGAAAGATCAGGTATATTTCTCGCTTGTTTTGCCTCCTCTTTGATCATTGACTGTGAATTCTATCGTCTGTGAAATGAATAATACTCTTTAATGAAGGAAAACCGTTTGTTTCTGTTTCTTGCAAACAATTTTATACGCTGTGATCGCTCTCTTTGATGTTACGTACAGATGGTGAGTGTCGTACTTTTCGCATCACCCGTTCCCCCTCTACTCTGTAGAGTAGTAGTACACTCTGCTGCCTGCAGTCACTTTGTCTCACAGATCTGATTTTTAGTCCGATCCTCTAACGTTCCTTGTAATAAAAGTAATTTCACGCGTGTAACAATACAATGTCATTAGTGTCTGATCGCGATCCATATTCGTACGAATAGCGAGAAGATTGTCGAACATAAACCTGCTTTGCGTTCGCAGATTACGATGGAGGAGTTACGTGCCGCGGACGTTGAGTATAAAAAGGCGTCAAGTGCCATTGAAAACGGTACTTCGATCCTGGACAATGCAGTAGCTAAAAGGAACGTGACGAACGATGCGAATCCGATATCTGCTGTGAATCGAGTTTGGGGAGGTGATAAAAGACTGTCCCTCTATGGATACACTCTCGAAACTATCAATTTGCTTCTTCTGCCAATGATGCAATCCAAGTACGTACGTTTCGATGTGTGTGTTTGTCCAGGCCTCCTAACCTAAAATTGACGAAGGAAAAAAAAGTACGCGTTGCGAGTTTTATTTCGACTCGTTGCTTATACGTGTTAATTATATACGCACAAGTTACGAAAAAGTTGAAAATTGTTTAAATTTTTAATTCTCTCGCGCAGGAAAGAGTCACTAGGCTCCATGGGTAATGACGCACCGCTGGCTTGCCTCTCTCAATTTCAACCGCTGATCTACGAGTATTTCAAGCAACTGTTTGCTCAGGTAGAAATGACTCTTATCGTTCGCGTTCGAACGCAATATAAGCGTTTGCTAAACATTTTCTTGTTCGAAATTTGTGCTGTAGGTGACGAATCCTCCGATAGACCCGTTTAGAGAGAAGATAGTGATGTCGATGCTTTGCCCCATCGGGCCTGAAAGCAATATCCTCGAGCCGAATGAACTGCAAGTACACCGATTATTTTTATCACAGCCGATACTCTCTCTGGAAGATCTAGAGATAATCAAACGGACCAACTACCGTGGCTGGAAAACCAAAATAATCGATGCGACGTATCCGGTGCAAGATGGCCCATCTGGGTTGGTGAACACGCTAAATCGCGTGAGCGAGGAAGCTGACCAGGCTGCGAAACAAGGTTATCAGTTTCTCGTTCTATCCGACCGACAAGCTGGTCCGGAAAGGTGAGACTTGATTACTCGATCGTATGCATTTACCATTTATCATTTACCATTTACCATTTACCATTTACCATTT